AGCCTGTGTACCCCCGACTCCCGAAGACCCGCACTTGCAGAGTTGAAAAGCCACAGAGCTCGTGTGCCCTTTGATGCTTGCTTTGCGCCGCTATGCTCGACGGTATACTTTATTGTTTTGGAAGAAGGCGAGAGAGCGCGAAGAGCAACCATCGGAGCAATAATTACTCCCATACTGTCGTTAACGACGCTAAGGTGAAAGAAAAAAAAAAAAAAAAAAAGTACAGAGTAGGAGCAATCATTCGAAACGGGGGAGCAATCGTTTGTTTGAAGAGAGCACTGGAACACCCGAATAATAGAGAGGACGGAGCGAGGAGAGAATTTAGCTGCCGGAGGCCGTCGGGCTCAAATCGTGCCGAGTCAGTTCACTTGACAAGCCGCCACTGATGACTGAAAAAAAAAAAAATTGGTGCTTTTTTGTTCTCTATTCAACTTGTAAGACCAAATTGTAAAAACGCTATGGTTCGCACTTGAATATCCACAATCGTGACCGTAATAGACTATCGCTTTCGTAATTTCGATAAAATTTTAATTGCTATTGCATCAACTCCACTTTATAGACCAAGAGCAATGGACGTAGCGGCATTTTAATTTTTATGATTAATAAGCTGCACTGCACAGTCATGGGCTAAAACGTTTGACGCTGACACTTGGCACAAAAAAAGTGCCTTTTTCGCATTGGGCTTGTCATTGCACCTTTACATCGCGCAGAATGATTAAATGACTTGTCACGCTAATTAGGCACATACGCGCAATGAAAAGAAATGTACATACGTCTTTTTTTTTTGTCAACGCTATATTTATAAACGAAACGACGATAAACGAGTGCATTGCTGTCTCTACGTGTATGCATAACATTTGAACCGACGGTGCCAATTAAAGTCTCACCCGTATAAACGTACAGCTCTCAAAAGCGAGAATCAGAGCTATGTGCCAACTAGCCTAAGTAGTTTTCAATCCAAATCTAGAAGAATAGATTTTTATTTTCGTAAAGACGAGTAGACTATGGCACCTTCGAGGTGAATCGTTTTAGCTGATCAATGCGCACGTACTGCAGGGTCACATGGATTCGGTGAAGGAGATGGATTTCACGTGGTGGACGAAAGCAATGACTCTCGATGTGTTGTTTGTTTTTTTCTTTCCCGTGAACTCTCTGTATCCTTTCTCTGCATTACTTTTTTCGGGCTAATCGAGTGAAAACTTTCGTGATCCGCATTACAGTGAGTCTGTTAATTCTCTGAAGCGCTGATGGGAGGAGCAAAGCAAAAAACAACTGCTCGAAAACTACGCCAAAGATGCTCTGTAAGCTTGTCCTTGTGACTCCTTTGAGTGTCAACTGTCAATGATCTTAATCCCATCGATAAATTGGTCCTTCGACGCAAAGCCCATAGGTGTTACTTTGGAAAATAATGGCACTCGCGAATATTAGCCATATTGCACTTGTGGTTAGCAATCAAACCAAATCCCTCTTTTCTCATACACTGGGTCTCGTAAAGATCTCAAGGTTGGTGGGGATGAGACGAGGAAACTTTGCAAACTCTCCGCCGAGCTCTTCGAGAAACCCTCTGTAATCTCATGCAAGTTTGATTTATCATTGGATTACGTTGAAACCAATGGGACAACCAACAGCTTATTTTCTCTTACACGGACGATCAATTGTTAGAAAATTTTTTTACGCAACAGCCAACGCGACGGTACTAAAATTTTTTTTCTCTCGTACGTAGACGCAAGCATCGTTTTCGTAACCGCCTGACCAAACCCGGATGTTTCTACTGTGCCGAGCAAAGATAATAATTGCGGCCCTCGAGCGATCGGCTGAGAAGAGCCCTCGATGGCTGAGAGGCCCCCGTCAACCGAAGTCAAAGTCTAGAGCTTTTGGGCTCTTTGATCTCGAAACCAGGCCGATCTTTTTCTCCTCCCTGCAAACACATGCGCGACCCAAGCGAAGGGAGAAGAAGAAGAAGAAGAAGAAAAACGGCCTCCTTCTCGTCTCGACTTCCAAGCTCACGCCACCATCAGGGCGTCCCAATTAATCAGCGAGAGGGGGAGTAATTTGGAGGGAGGGTGGTAGAGGGCAGGCAGTGTAATTATTGCGATAACCCACTTGCAGGTAACACGGCGCGGTTGCACGTGGGTGGAGGAGGAGCTTATATCCTCCCTCGCACTCGAGAGTCGATACAGAGCCGTCTGGTGTCCCGAAATCAGCTCGTGCCTGTATGTACGACGCATCACCGCGGAAGTGCATCCGACCTCGGTGAAAGTTCATTTGAGCCGATCGGCAAGTTGCGCGGAATGCTCGTGTGCCCCAAGTATATATATTATGGACTCTGTTTTCGAGTTTCGACCAACTCAATTTCTAGTGATGTAGATTTCTTCCGATGCCTTTGGAGTTTTTCTTTTTTTTTATTCCTTTTCAATCCCTCCCTAGTGAGATCAGCAGGGACGTCGTTCTTCGCTAATAATATATGACCCGCGCCATCGGAACGACGTACTCTCTCAAACACGTCTGTACAGATAGGTATGTGCCCACGAAGGCTCGAAAAAGATACCCCAGAGAGGAGGTGCCAAGCAGATGGTATTCGATCAACGAGCTTTGGACGACTGCTCGAAACGATGGGGAAGGCCCTTGGTATTATTGGCTTTTTCCCTGAAATTAATATCGGGAGGGGAAAAAAAAAAATCTAATTGGATTCCGAAGGATGCTAGTTACGTACCCTCTATTTGCCACTGGTGCCGTATACAATGCACACACGTAAACGCTTCATCAATTCCCCCGATGATGTATAGTAACTCTCGCTCCTATACACCCAAGTATAACGTTCTAATTGGTAGAAAAGTTTCAATTCCTGCACAACATCCTCGCTGCGCTTCACCACGTTATTATCTTCGCACGTAATGTTCACGCATGGATTATACGACACCCACCCCCGCGCTATAACTCAGACAATATAAGTTTGCACTCGTAGGAGCATAAAATAAAATAAAATATTGGGCTGTTCCCGGGTGGTGGCGGCAGTATGTATGTGTATGGTTGCAGTCCTCCCCCCCGGAACGTCTCGGGGATGCACGCGCGCGCAAAGCCAGCGAGTTCGCTCGCAGAGCGCGTTATAATATACAGAGCACCGTCTCTCCCTCGAGTGCATTATTCATGGGCATCAGTTTCCGGACCGGTTGGCAGATAAGGCGCGACTCCCCGAATCGACGCTTTCCTCCGTTTCTCTTTGGCTCCTCGCCTCCGTCCCTCCATCTCCTTGTTTTCGCGAAAAGAAGATGGGGCCGCTTCCCCCCCGCCTCTAGTGTTTTTTTCACGTATTCGTATACGTACAACGTGTGCTCGTACGCTGGCTTCGCGAAGGGGGGAAAGTAGGTCGCGCTGCACCGTCACTCGGTGCCCTCCCGTTGCGTTCGCGCGTGTATAACTCCCCCGCTGTGCATTAGGTACATATAACATATATAACCAGCACTATGGCTTCGGCACCCTCGAAATCTCAAACGCGGGTGGAGCTCTGTTTCGGCTGTTTGGGAGCTTTTTCTCCCCCCCCTCGCCACCCAAGTGGGACTCGCGAGGGGCTCCCTTTTCGTACATCGGGACCGAGGCACCGTTCGGGCGAATCGATTGGGTATAATGGGACACCCTACATACAGCTATTCGACGTCTCGTGATTGACTTGCGCATCGCTTTGGTGACACCATAGGCCACAAAGACGATCGGGGGCTGGTGCGAAAAATAATCCTCGGCTTCTTGCATCATCTTCCCCGGATGCGCTCGAGTGTACGCGAATCCGTTTACGGAAGTTTCGGAGTAGAGAGGAGCCCTGGGTGTACTAACGAAACGGTAAAGAGGTCGAGTGTCTACCCTCCATGCCCTCGTCATTGGCTTTCCTCCTCTTTCACCCTCTTTTTTTTCTTTTTTTTTCTTCGATGCAGTCCCGGGTACGTGTCTGTACGGCTCCGCGAGGAGATTGTAAATGCAGGGGCTTGGAAAAATTTGCAATTGTAAAGCAGCCGGTGCACCGGTTAAATTGCAACAGAAACATTAGCTCATCCATGCGTGTACCGTACACATCATACACATCTACGATGGAATAAAAAAACTTGTTACCGTAAGGTATATGTATGCGAAAGGGGGTGAGTGCGGCGGATGGTAATTTTATTGTGTGTACGTGGATTACAGCGAGGTACTTATATGAGAGATTTGGGTGTACGTTACCGAGTGGCTGTGTCGTTGCACAAGAACAGTTTTCTCTAATGGTATCAGGTGATGGGGGGAAAAGGGGTGTGCAGGTTTTTTCATTCGATCGAAACATTATACCTACCGTTTTCTCTGTTTGGTATGTAGTATATGTACACGCGACGAGTGGCGTACAAGATTTATTGTACTTTCTATACTTTTGTCCCTTCGTGGAAGGCATCAGTATTATATCGTACTCGTCGATTCGTGAGTAAACGAACCTGAAAAAGTTATCTCTGGAAAATTGAAAAAAAAAAAAAAAAACCGAGTGTTTCCCATCAACCTCGCGGATGATGAGATTGAAAAGTGAAACCATCACGGCACCAACCCAATTAAAACTCTCTTTGCGTTTTCCCGACATCCTCTAAAATATAAGAACAAAAGATGGAGCCTCGCACTCAAAATTCGCAAGCCCCATTGTTTGCGACGCCCGGGATATGATAGCAGCTCTTTCTCAAATTATCGGAGCAGCCCCTTTTGCTCGCCACGAAACGCCAGTCCGATCGGCTGAAGGGGCTCGGTTTCTCCCAAACGACGGGGTGACACTAATTTACCTTGCTCTTTTGTGCGTTTCCGATGTACGTATATACTCGTATATGTATTAGCTCTTGCTAATTAGACGTCAAAATTTCGCCTGGCCGAATAACTCACGTCGAGAAGTAGGAAATGTATAGTCAAGTTGTCGTTAATAATAATGTATACATAATAATATGAGAACGGATGAACAATGAAACACTTTCAATCAATTGTTGTGTCTTTATCTGTTGCAGAACCTGAAAAATCAGATAATGACGACGAATCTGTGGGTCGAGCAGGTGAGTACCGGCGATCGCCCGAGCTCCGTCCAAAGTACCCGCTTGTTTTCCCTTGGTATGCAAACGCGCACTCGTGAAGAAAAAAAAAGTGGGAGGAGATACGCAGGTCACACACAAAAAAAGAGGGAGGGCAAGTTGCACCGGTGCAAGCTCGTTTGAAAGCAAAAGGACGACGGCGCGTAGATGCTCATTAAATTAGATGTAACGCAAGGCAACCGTCATCGGGTGCCGATTAACATTATAGCTTCGTCTTTCTATGTATCACGCGTGAGCTCGTTAGTTTTTCAAAGCACCCGTGGCACTTGACAGCGATTGGGTGCAATTTCGTCGCGTAAAACGCATCTATCTCACCTTGATTTTTCGGTTTGGCGACGACTCTCTCGCTGTCGTGGATGAGATAAGTTTAACGTCTCTCGTTGCAACGGTAAACGGAACAAAGAAAGTAAAGACACGAGTTTCATTGCCAGCAACAAAAAGTAGGTAAATCGATGGTACCACTAATTGGGAACATTGATTTTATTAACCTCGGATTGTTTGATTTCTACATTTTTTTTCGTTAAATAATCGCTCGTCAAATAATTTTTCTCTTTATCATCCGCAAAAGCCTCAATCACACGTCAAACGGTTGGTCCACAGCGGGAGTATGAAGCTGCCCGTACCATTGTGCAGCCACTCGTAAATTCATATTATGCGATGTAAGTTGCGTGTGTAAATTGAAGCGACGCTGCCCGGGTGTATAGCAAACGAAACGAGGTGTAGTACTTGCGTAAATCGGCAAATTTGGAAGGTAAAGAAAATCAGGTCGAGATGAGGAGGAGCGGCAATGTCTCGAGCCGTAAAAGTAGCGGATGCCAACATTTCACGGCCCAGAGCTTCGCCTCGTTTTTTTGCTCGTGGAGTCATTTTAAAACGCCCCACGCGTCCCGATCTGCCTTTCCTTTTCTCCCTTTCTTTCCACTGTTGCCTACATGAAAAATACACGCGCCAACTAACACACGAGCTACATTTCATACTAGACGACTCTTCTCCCGTTTTTTTTTTTTTTTTTTCTTTTTCGTTTTCACGTAGAAAATTACTTTCGCGTGCGGCAATTGGGTCCTCGACAGTAGCGACACATGGGATTTTATCACCGATGCCTTGCTCGAAATGAAATTTGGTCGTCTAGTACGAAACACTCGCTTCGATGGAATACACCTACTACCCTATACGCATGTACATAATTAACGCAATAATCCCTACAAGCCCAAGCCTTTAAACACAAAAAATTCTTGTTTCAGTCGTGGTACGATTACAAGCTGCGCTGGGAGCCAAAGGAGTACGGGGGCGTGCACATGCTGCACGTGCCCTCGGATCACATATGGCGACCCGACATAGTCCTCTACAATAAGTAAGTTTTCCCGCGCATACTTTCTCTCTTTCTGTCTCTTTTACTCACTGACTTCGATGAGCTGGCCCTGCAGCTGCCCTTCAGCCGAAAGCAGATGAAAAAAAAAAAAGGCAACTCCCCGACATGACACACCCCCTCGACACGACCACGCAACAACTACCACCACCCCACCCCTTCTCTGGTAGGAAAACCCCCGACCCCGTATTACCTAAAAAAAATTTTGCTCACGAGATGCGAACCCCCATTCAATAAGCCCTCAATCTCGCATCTTACAGCCACTACGAAAGTTTTATGTTTAATATCATTACCACTCATACACATCATAATATCTGTATAATGTGTGTTGTGTTCCAACGGAGACGTACTTACGTAGAGGCATTGCATGATGCCTGAGGAAACTCGAGCGATTCGACTCCCCAGTCCTGGCTCTCGCTCTCTCCCACCGTTGCCTATGGCATTGAAACTGTCACACACTTTCCGAAACTAAAGCCGGAGAGGGAGAGAGAGAGATTGGGGCGAGGGTCCAATCGTTCCGTCTCGTTACGTAAGTATGAACGCACATCCTCACACACGCGTGTGTGTATACATATATATATACGTGTGAAGTACACACGCGGCAAGGATACTCCAGGTGCTGTACACCCCCATGTATCGTATGACACTAGAGAAAAGAGTGAGAACAAGAAGAAGAAAAAAAAACACGCCGACAGTCACTCACGCTCTGTATGATGCAACACATATATTTTCCGTATGATGATGAGTCAAGGCGCTTTTGTGTGATTTAACGTTACGAGCGCACTCTACGCATATATAATATCATGCACAGAATGTGCGTGACTGACCGAGAAATATATGTGTGTGTGTTTTGCTGCATGCATGTGTTAACTATACAATATTATATATGTGTGTACATGTATTTCGTTCGTCGTCCCTGTATGACATTACGGATTTATTGCGACGAATCTCCGGGCGATCATGTTCTTTATTTTTTTTTTCCATCACCCGTCCACCCCCACCCGCTTTGACACGTTACACGGTAAGTCTCTTTTGCGGGAGAAAACCTTAGACATAGGTTACCCACACTTGACCTTCTTCAATCATTTGATGTTGTTACACGCCAAAATCCAGCCAGCACATAAACATAACCATCGCCACGCGTGTGTGTTGCGTAACATTATTGTTTGTCACCTCCGTGATACATGTATATATGTGTATACGTTTGCGTGAATCGACCTCCGCGTATACCAACCCCATGATACGGAGGGTCGACGCGGAGTACTATATACATATAATATATACGTACGCACACGTGTATGAGTGTCCCAATTGTCACCATCTACGTGTATATCGCATGCGAGAAAAAAAAAAAATACGGGCGCTGCGGCGGTATCGTAATTGCGAGGCGAGATACGTTCTTCGATGTTCCGGCCGATTTTTGTTCTCGTGGGTGCTTGATAAGCTAAAAACGTAAATATATTATTTACAGTAAAGTGTAGGAAAGAAAACACAAAAGCCCCGCTAAAGTATTGAAATTCATTGTAAAATGTGGCCACAATTTTTATCGATGATCGTTGGATTGCAACGCAGAAAAATTTAAATTGCAAATTATAAAATATATACATGGTATACGCGAGCGGTCAAATGGCCCAAACTGAGCGAAGTATATAGGCGTATATTTAATACGTACGCAGCGAGTTCATCGAGTGGAGGGACGCATGTAGGGCGCCATGTATGGTGCCAACCCCCAAAGAGCAAACAAATTTTTCGAGTCTCGAGCTAACAGAGGGGGGTCCGATCGTCCAATTGACGGACAACAACGAGCCACGGCCAATTGTCAACATCGGCTGTTCCCCTTTTTTGTTACAGCGTATGATGTTTCCACTGCCCCGACCGCACTGTACGGTTACCGTGTCAACTGGGGTACATACCCTTGTTTCCGATGTTACTCTCTCCCTCTCTGGCCAATGTGATTACTCTGTTGTTGTTTTATATTTTTTTTTTTTCCTTCCATTTTATATCCAACGGTTAATTGGGAAGTGAGAGTACACGTGTACCCACACCTCTCGAAATCCGCGCTATTCGACGTGCAACGCGATCAACGATCTTCTTCTCCTGAGCCTCCCATTTACCGAAAACGCTGATGGGCTGCACAACGAGCACTTCACTTGATGTGCAACTTAGGTACATACGTATACATAAAACTGGGGCTCGCTGAATCCGGATTAATTGGATCGACGAGTTTTTCTTCCTCCCTCCCCTTTTCGCCCTAATTAGCCCTGTAGGTGTGCATATATTTGTCAACAAGCCCGAATTGAATTGTAAAACAGACTCCGATCGTCGATTCCTCGCGACGGGGACGACAGCGACTGACAATGGAGTACTCGTGGAGCGAATATTTATAGGGGCCAGCGACAATGGAGTTAGGCCCTGCGAAAGTGGAAGGAAAACAACCTTACGGGCTATTGTCGTCCCGAGAAAAGATGCGCGAAATAACAAGAAGCACTCGACCGTAGTATCTCTCGTGTCAGACACACCCCCAAAAAGAAAAAAAAAAAAAATCAGCTGCACGGAGCCACGGGCTCTTTGGTCAGAGTCGCCCCGACGTCGATCGGTGAAAAACACGGGGAGTATTCCGACACACACAAAGAGAACCGATGCGGCGACGGCTCTTGTGCTTACACGCGTCTTTTGCCCCACACCGTGTGTAAATATACACTGGCGGATGTTTCCCTCGGTTTTCAACGCCGCGAGCTCGCTCCCTTTTGTATCGGGGCACCAAAGGCCGAAGGGGAACAGTGGGCTTTTATCCATTTCTCGCGGCACCCGGGCTTCCATATTCTCTCGAGGCTTTCTTTCTCCTTTTTCTGCCACCGCTCGGCCGTGCCTATACGCGGAGAGTAAGTTTTCTGCCGATTCCCGCGGGATAGGAGCTGCTGGAATCTCGCGCGTCTGCTGCATTCAACTTCTCTATGGGTGCCCATTCATTGGCACACGGTTTTTGACTTTCGCGTCCACGTTTTGTACTTTTCCTGTTTTACAAGACTATGTAGAGTAATTGTAGAGCTGCTCGGTCGAAAGGGGCCCAAAGTCTCCGATTTATCGAAGCCCTAACTTGGTCCTCGAGAAACCCGCGAGGCTGCACACAAAAGCCATTGAAACTCAGCTGCAAGCTCCGAGCTGCTATCTTTGCCAACTATCAGGCCGAGGGAAGGGGTGCCAAAGTAGTCGCTCTCGGCACGCTATATGTATATATAATTTGTACACCTCAGGTAGTTGGGAATTATTATACAAGGGAAAAGAAGGACGCGCGGCGATAATTCAGCAGCTCGATTGGGTGGTAGGGCCGCATACACTAGCTGCCACCGCCTCTCGGCACGCGGTTGAAATTGGGTCGTCCCTCCTTGGCTCGCGAGGTTGAACTTCTATACCTATACCTACGTTGTTGTCCTTATTATTACGGTGCGCGACGAGTCGAGGCTATTTTCGGGAGTATGCCGGCCGTATCCTCGTTGAGCTATTTTGACGTATAGGACACGCGTAGGTGTACAGCAAGCACCGGCACATTTTTCGAATAACGCCAATTACCGAGAAAAAGAGCGAGGCAAAGAAGACAGTGGAGGTGAAAACCGTTTGGTCCGTCTCATCTCTGCTCCTTCGTGACTCGGACTGACATAAATTATTCATACGCGTCGTTGTATAGTAGCCAAGTGAGATACAGTTGGCTTTTTTATGTTGAAGAGAAAAAAAAAAAAACAACCCATTGTTACAAGGCTAAGTAGTTCGAAGAAGTCACGGTCTGACCGTTATTGAGGTATATACACACATAAATACGTATAAAAATAGTTGTATCGCTTGGGTGGCTAGCGCCAAATTATGCGAGCCAAAGACAGGGGAAGAGTCGAGGATGAGACGGAAACAGAGGGGTTGAGTCAGCAACAGCAGCACCGACGAGCCGGGGGGAGTTCAGTTAAGCTGTACCCTATATAAGTGAAAGCTCTGTTGAACTCTCGCGACACTTGATTCCGACGAAAACAGTCGCGTCTGCGAAAAGCTTTGTGTTTGTCACCCAAATGTATAGTCGAGATTTGCGCGAGCAGACCCCCAAACTCCCCTGGCTTCTCCCTGTCGATCGCACTTTTTCGAGAGTCGAAGCTTAGTATACATCAGGAGGGCCGACCGATCGAAAAATGTACTGCACACTTTTGTGCATCTGTTAGAGATTTACACATCATATTTTGCGATGCATACATTAACAGATGGGATACAGCACATGGGTAGTGTACGATGTAACATGTAGGCAGATGTAAATTGTAGACAGCAACATCTGCTTGTAGGGACCATCAGTCCTACGTTGAAGCAAACGGCTGGCCTCCTCTGGTTGACCACGCGATAATAACCCACCCCTTCCCTCGTCCCATTGCTTCCTCGTTAATCCACGAGCTTGCACCTACCAAATTCTACAACTTGCACCACTGGCTGAGATGTATATATTTATGTACGTGTATATACCAAAACCATAAGTGTGTTTGCTTTCTTGTATCCTCGATTCGTTACTACGACAATTACGGTGCGAGGGAATAAACACGTTACGTGGACGCGCGCGCGTGCAACCGGCGTTTGACGGCAGAGCGTAAATTTTCCCACCTTCTGGCTGGGAGAAAATCCACATGGACGACGAATGATGAGCAACATTTTTGAACAAGGGCACGTAAAGGACGTACCTTCATTTTAAAGGTGGAACTTGGCAAAGTCCTCGCATCGGTTTTGCTGCATAGGTAGTAGGATTCATACATGTGTACGTATATCTCGAGCCAATCGCATAACACACCGGCCCAGCCACGCACTGCACACAAGATACAACACGAGCAGGCTGCATCAAACACAACACACACGCACATATATGCGCTACTATTCTCCGAGGAGTTGATCGCCTGCACTTGCTCTCTCTCTCTCCCTCTTGGGTCAATTTAATTGGAGCATCGGCACGTGATCGCTGCACTCTCGTGTCACTGCGCCGTGTGTCCTGCACGTACTCGCGTGTATAAGTACACACAGGACACGGTCGAGAAAGCCCGATGCCAATGATGGGTCATCACCCCCCCCCCACATCTCATATATAGATTAACCAAAGATTAGATGCTCCACAAGGTTATGCGGACCGTGGAGGAGTTTAATGTGGATCTCGGGATATTTGCGCGAGTTTACACGTATTTGTATGCGCGTGTGTAAACTTTTGCGAGCGAAATTGCTTCGGCCCAACAAAGCGTACTGTACAATTATCGCGAGAATTCGATGGAAAGGAAAGAGAGCGTTCTTACTTGACTCGCGAATCTTTGGAAATCTCAAGCAAAGCAAATAATACCACGTACTTCCATCGCGTTCAACTGAAGGTATGGGAAAAACCACGAGCCTCCATGTTTTTTATCCGTCAATCCTCCCATATCGTGAAAATGAGAGCACGAGGTGGGGAGTGGTGGAAGAAAAGTGGCGAACGGACCGTAGGAAAACAAAAGAAAACGCGACTCGGGCATCCATCGTTCCCTCGCAACGCGAGTATAATGGGACGTGGAAGAAGAAAACGGCCAACCGACGATGAGGAAGAGAGCTGCTCCATTAAGCCCCTCTGAGCTTGCGATTGATTATAAAAGTGCAGAAAACACGCACATTCGCAAGCCACCGGTTATATATAAACAGAGACAAGGCGGTGCGAGCTTTTCATCTCTCCATTGTCCCTGCAAGCTCGACAGTATGGGGCTACTCTCAAAAGTATGCGAGAGTCGAGGAACTTTTTCTCGTGTCCATGAATTATTTGCAAAGGCGTTTATTTTCAGAGCACGGGCTAAAACAGGAGCTCCGAAAAAAGCTCCTCCAGGAGGCAAGGGACTACCGATGCGCGATGGAAAGGGTCTTGGAGGTTACCCTCTCGGGTTTTATAAATACCTCGAGTTTATTTTTCTTTTTCCCTTGTCGCCTCTGGACGTCTTTTCCCAAGTAGAGCACGTAATTAAAAATAAACCGAGCTTCAGGGCGAAATGCCCTCCCTGCCTGCTACATTTGAGGAACATTTATTTTCGACGTCCACTGCTCGGCATTCGAGATAACGTATACAGCGAGGGAGGGCATGATTATTGTGAAAACAAAAAACCGAGGATTTTGCCAAAGTTTTGTAAAGGCAGACTTCACGGTGCCGACAAAACGAGGACCAACTTCACGCTGAACAATCGTCCATCCGTGGGAGTACAATTGATCGTGTGAAAACCTGAACTGGATCGGAAAAAGGGCCCCGCGAGTGCGTTGAAAATATGCCCGGGAACGAGGACGCGTCCCGCGAAATGTCCCAAAGGATATCCGAGTTGCGCCAGGCCCTGCAGGACCTTCGCTCGGAGCTGCACCAGGAAAAAATCGAGCTACAACGGATGGGCCACGAATCCTCGATCCGAAGGACCGACTGTTTCCGAGGTGGGTCGACATACATGAACAAGTGGTTGGATAAAGTGCCGTTTCTATTACTCGTCATTCTGCATCCCAATGCGAAACTTGAATGCAACTGTTTTTCCTTTGCTTCGAAAGGTGATAACGACGCCGAAGCCCCGAGCTTCTCCAGCATCCGCCCGCCGTACCCGCCGAGCCAGACAATGTACGAGGTAAGCAATCAAAAAAACTAGAGCTCTATCGCATAGAAATGTCGAGCTTGGTAGACACCATGGGTTAATTTCAACAACTATTTTTGACGTAAAAGCTCGGGGTGGTTATGGACACACGTAATACTAGTGCACTTGCATTGAACTCGTCTCGCAAGGGTACCGTGTGGGGGAGTCTGTCAAGCTCGAACGAAAACACCTCGTAAGGGGTGAGCCAAGTCGACCAAGGGATTTTCCCTGACTTGCTCGCGTGTGAGCGCAGGACACCGAGACGACAGGGCCGGAGGTGCATCTCGAGCTGGCGGGTTTCTACAAGCGCAAGATCAGCGAGCTCGAGGCCGACTGCTGTGCCAGCCTCAACCGGATTCGCTCGCGGTTCACTCAGTTCTCGTTGCCGATGAGCAGGGACGACGTGGCCACTGGCTATCACCACCGCGACTCGCCGAGGTACCTCAGTCTCGAAGCCGGGGACGCGACGGACCAGCCGAGCAAGGGCCTTCAGCTCGACAAGTGCGTTTTCACGTTGCACCTTATTTGCCCTAGACAAGTGCACCTACAGAGACGCGCACTCGAGGCTTTGAACGCCCTTCCCCACCAAGTTTTAAGATAACGACGGACCAAAGTTTGTTCGAGACCATCGCGATCGCGAGCATATACTCACAGCGAGATAAATAAATCACAAGTGCCCGTATCCGAAATCAAACGGGTGTACGTGCGATGGATGAACCACAGGCTTTTCCCCGAGGCCTCGAAACTCCCGGTCCCTCGTTAAGCTCGACCTTGAAACGGCAGAGCCTCGCTGTACGGAGTTGGGGGGAAAAAACACCACAAAGTAATCGTTACGGGGTACATCGGGTTTTGCAGATTGGCGAGAGATGGCGTGGAGACGCTGTGGACGACGGACGATCCGTTCAGCGACGCGGGTGACTTTTCGAGCTTGATGATGATGGAACCCTCGGCCGACAGCTACCGAGAATTCTCATCCCCGTCACCGACGCTCGACGCCGATCTCACGGCCTTCTGAACTGCGCGACACGATCCGCGCCAGTGTATTACCCGAGCACCGAATAAACATCTCATTGGTGACCAAAGTGAAAAGCTCGCGTCACGTGTACACCCATGCATACGTTCTCCCGCAAGCTGGGAGCTTTTACATAATTCCAAAGGCATCTCCTCCGTCTCCTCGTACCTATTTGAGGCGTTCCGCAAGCGTGGATGTACGAGGAATACGGATATCCATTGCGGAGCATCCTTTTCATCCTGGGGTGCATAAGGGAGGTCAGGGGGCGCGTTTGAATCGTCCGCGCATCGATTGGATACATAAGAAAAAAAAAAAAATCAATAAAGTGAAAAATCGACGACACCGAGAGTCAAGCTTCTCCTCACCTACCACGTAAGAGTCTCGAGTAAATCGACCTCTCGAGCGGTACTTGTTTTGCCATGGGGGAGAGGGCATGAGCCGGCAGGTGTGCGAGGAAAAAAAAAAAAGAGAGTGTTGTACAGGTAAACAGGGTGCTCGATTTACAAGGGTTTTTTCCCCCAAATCCATCGATGCGAGCGAAGAAAAGATGACGCTGTGCGGACGCCAGCGCCAAAAGTACACGGAGCAAAAGAAAAAAAAAAAAAAAAATGAAGGAATGAAGAAAAAAGGGGAATTCGTGGTATACACCCACCTCGGGGGGTCACGACGCTCCCACGGTCTGCCAAGTCAGCCGCTCCAGATCGGCCTCGTTGCTTCTTCTTCTTCTGGTCTCTCTTTTTGTACAAGCTTAACCACGTTCCGTTCCCCGTACACGTACACACAATAAACGTCACCCGGCACGTTCGCACTTGCCTCGAGACCCTACCCCCCCGAATCCCACCTTAACTTTCGCCCTTCCGTGATTTGTCGAGCCGCGGAGAGTAGACGGTATACAAGTTTATCACTACTATGGTACATGTTACGTGTATAAACAGTACAGCGGCAGCAACGGTATACTTTGACTGTACTCGAAGCGGTTCGCATGTAGCCCAATCGCTTGCTCCGTTCGGAATAGAGCCGTGACGTCCACCACCATGTATATTACCTATCAAATATAATGTATTGATCATCTTTGAAGCTCGTGGCGAATTGCTTGTGAGAGATAATAATAACAATAATAATAATAATTACACACCCTTTGGTTCGGTGCGCGACTATAGGACACCACTCTGGGCTATGACAATTAATCGAGTGGGAGGGCTTTTCGCATTTCCAAGTGCGCCAACACGTGCACTCCTGTCGGGGAGGCGATCTTTGTTCGACTTTCGCTCTAACCGGTGGCTATCTCTCTCTCTCTCTCTCTGTTAAAACTTTGGCGGGGAAAATTTCTCCGAGACTAAAATTAGGAGAAGAACGAACGAAGGAGGAACTGAGCCCCTTTGCTATATTAGCGGAAAGTTTTGGGGTGAAAAATCAACGGACTCGCTCCACCAGCACCTTATTACGTATACACGTAGGAGGGCGAAAGTTGGTTCCCAGTTTGGGAAAGGGAGGAAGAATGAGAATAAAATACCCCACCGGCTGATAAGCGCGTGGGCTACGTACGATAAAAAAAAAAAAAAAAAAAAAAAAAAAAAAAAAAAAAAAAAAAGTGCACACCCAACGAGGTGGGGCTGTGAATGTATACGCGAACCTCGTTTCTTCCTCTCTCTCTCTCTCTCGTGCAGCCTAGAAAAAATTAACTTTGCTCGTACGGGGCAAAACTCTCGCGCGCCCCCGTACACGCATGATAGAGCTTCTCCGTATAGCGTACATCGGAGCGCGGGGTTTGGGGAGTGATTATTTCTCGGATTGCTCGTGTACGACCCGGGAATCCGGGCGCCAGCTCTTGTGTTGATATAGACGTGGCACTTTTTTTTTCGATAGAGAAGAAAAATATCGCCCCTCTCGGTGTGAGAAGCGGATGAATGCCCGCAGTTATTATGACTCACCCAAAGACACGTGCAGGCATACTCGAGGGATCACGTGATGCAAGAAATCTCGTTGTATACGTTCACGAGGCCCGAGAGAGGCTCACCGGGTAGTGGGTACACGGGGCGTGTAAACGCAACTACACGCACAGGGACAGTCGGTCGTTCCGAAGAGTTTGAAATTGCGCGTCGGTCGCACGCGGGCGAGAGCAAAGTACAAGAGTATAGTCCCCGGAGGACATACGGGGGAGGGTGTCGCTCCGCGCATAAGTCAGAGTAAAAGGCGCTGGGAGGATGAAGAAACAAGACTATAGGTTGTCAAGGTGGGGGTGGTTGTAGCCGTAAAATCCGCTAAATAAATTGCCGCGTGGCGGGCGAGCGACGCTGCCGGGAACTTTTCTATTGGACAAAATGATTTACGACCACGCCAGCTCGCTGCTTCTTCTTCTTGGCCTCCGTTGTAGCAGTTTTCTTGCGGTGCCTATAACTCGCGGTCTGGTGGCTGATGCTCTTTGCGTTGACGCTCGAGTTGTGGCTTAAAACTCATCTAATGCAAGTTGGGTGACCTGTACCATTTTTTTTATTTTTTTTTATTTTCATGCATACAGTTAAACGATGGCAAATGCCCTGCACAAATATTTGCATCGACCATCGTAATACTTGGGCTTGAAATCCGTAGTAAGTAGAACAAATCGAGTTTGGTCAGACGCTGTACCAATGCAAATGGACGAGTTTTTCAATGTTTTGGGTGCACCTCTCGTGAGAAAAATAAAGTCTCTGAAAATTACCAGGCAAGATGCGTGAATTTAAGGGGGAAAAGGGTCCTGCAGCGCCCCCCCCTCCTTTAATTACCATCGTCACAGTAATTCTTAACCCCCCCCCCATTAAGCCCACTTGCGTCATTTACGCTGCGATAATGAATTGATATAACGGAAAATTATGATTTCCCGTGGGTACGTGCACCGCGCTAAAGTGCCGGAGAATGTAAATTAGAGATAAGGATGCGGAAAGACCGAGAGATATGGCAATTAATGGGAACGGGTAGTGGGTTAGGAGGGTACACGCAAGCATGACCGAATCGTGCCTCGATTTTGATTTCGCCGACGAAACTCGCCCTACGTGTCCCTGATAATATCTTCATGTCTGAATCAATTGCAGCGTAGATCTATTCCAAATAACCGAAAATACTGAGATCTGATGGGAAACCGGGGCTTTGGTTAGTGCAAAAACAGTTTTTCTCGTCATATGCTCGACACACGCGAGGCTAACGCGACCTAAGCTCATCGGGGAGTAAACACGCCAAGCAAATACGGGCGCACGGAGCTATACAGACGAAAGGCTTCGCCCCTCGATTTTTTAACCCTTTGCGTAGTTCACCGCTGACGCGGTCAAGCGTCTCTTTCGAGAAGCCCGTATAGGTGCACCATACGCATTGAGCGCGCACGCGAGCTTTTTTACGCGTTGACCGTTAACACCGAGTATTTACGTGGGTGAGGATGATTGGTTAATAGTGGAAAAGACATTGATGGAAAGTTTGGCCAATTTTCTTCCTTTTTTTTTTTTTCACCCCGATTCGGGGCTTTTGTGTTTTCCGAACAGTTAGATTTTCCGTCGGAGTGGCGAATGATTTTTTCCCAACCCTGGCGTTCGTCCGAAACGCGATGTAATGCACAGTCCACTTTTCACTCAAGGGCACATACATTATGTGCCCGTCAACACGCTCATTTCCGCAGTTGCGAGCTCTATTATTCTTTCTCGTGGAAATAAACTTCGCGACAGCGTATTTCATTTTTTTTTTCTGGCAGTAGAGAGCGTGGAAGTTCTCAAGTACACTCTTTTTTTTTTTTTTTTTTTTTTTTTTTTTTTTTTTTTTTTTTTTTTTTTTTTTTTTTT